TTCCCCTGCCTCAGCTCTCACAGACTCGGAAGCTCACTCTCTCGATGCCTATTACATACGATGTCTGGAACACCTCGTGCAGCTGCTTAACTCCTCCTGAGTGCACCCCGAGAGGAGGGGCCCTGCACGGGACGGTCACCTGAGCAGGCATGTCCAGCAGCCTCCGTTCTTCCTGAGCACCCGCAAAAGGAGAGGCCCCTGGACGGGACGGTCACCTGAGCAGGCATGTCCAGCAGCCTCAGCTCCTCTTTGCGCCCGAGAGGACACCCTCCCGATGGGTCGGAACCCTCACTGGGGCAGGCCGGTCCATTAGGTTCAGCTCTGAGGTGTGGCTGTCCTCAAATCCGTGTGTGTGTGTGTGTGTGTGTGTGTGTGTGTGTGTGAGGCAGTTGCTCTCTGTGGACAGAGCGGCATAGCACGTCCAGGAAGCTGACATGTTTTTTATCTATGCAATTTGCTTTGTAAAAATCTTATTTAACACTTATTTAATAAAATATTTTTGAACTGAAAATAGACTAGTAATGACTTTGAAAATTTTTATCAGTCTTGTGAATATAAATTTAAAGAAGTGAAAGGTATTGGGTTCTAGTGCCTTTTACTTACTAAATTTTTACGTGAAATTTGGCTCTTTTTGCAAACCTTGAGTCGTCCAGTGCCCACTTTGGTGGAGGAGTGCAGGTCCATATACATACAATTTTGTAAGTAGCTTCTTCATGAAATCTTCCCACTTATTAACTCCTTTCTACAGGATTTGGAAATCAGTTTCATTTTATAATTTTCATCCTTTGGCTTCTGAAATGGAGCGCTGCTGTGTTGGTGCCAACAAGGCTGTGACCCAGCAGCCTGTGATGCTGGTGTCGACGAGGCTGTGACCCAGCAGCCGTGATGTTGGTGCCCGCGAGGCTGTAACCCAGCAGCCCGTGGTGTTGGTGCCTGCGAGGCTGTTGACCCAAGCAGCCGTGATGCTGGTGCCCGCGAGGCTGTGACCCAGCAGCCCGTGGTGTTGGTGCCCGCGGGGCTGTGACCCAGCAGCCCGTGGTCAGCAGAGCTGCACCTGCTCACACGCCCGGGGCTAGAGGCCACTCTTGCTGTAGTCCTGATGTCGTCGGCCTCGCTGAGGGTCTTCACCTTCACTGATCCCAAGGCCCAGCTGTGAGGCTCAGAACGTGGAGTGGCTTAACAGGCCTCAGCTGCTCGGAGGTGAACTCGAGGCCTGAGTCCTCTGCATCCTGGTGCGGTGTCCTGGCTGCACGTGTGGTTCAGCCTGAGCGGATCCGGAAAAGACTGCTCCTCGCTCCATGCTCACCATGCTCCAACGGCCACTGGGTTGGGCTGGCGTCCACATGCCTGTGTCGTTCGGTAGGTTGTGCAGCCAAGGCTTCAGAGGCCCGGGTTTATGAGCATCTGGGGGAAGGCGGTGGCTGTTGGTGTTAAAAGCAGGAGACAGGAGTCTAGAGCCAGCCTTCTCCCCCTTGAAGTGACGTTTGCAGATGAATAGCCGGGTGTACTAGTTCACCCCCTCACAGGACACACAGCCGGGGCCTGGTTCACCCCTCACAGGACACACAGCTGGGCCTGGTTCACCCCCTCACAGGACACACAGCCGGGGCCTGGTTCACCCCTCACAGGACACACAGCTGGGCCTGGTTCACCCCTCACAGGACACACAGCTGGGCCTGGTTCACCCCTCACAGGACACACAGCTGGGCCTGGTTCACCCCTCACACCACACAGCCGGGGCCTGGTTCACCCCTCACACCACACAGCCGGGACCTGGTTCACCCCTCACAGGACACACAGCCGGGACCTGGTTCACCCCTCACAGGACACACAGCCGGGACCTGGTTCACCCCTCACAGGACACACAGCCGGGACCTGGTTCACCTCTCACAGGACACACAGCCGGGACCTGGTTCACCCCTCACACCACACAGCTGGGCCTGATTCACCCCTCACACCACACAGCCGGGGCCTGGTTCACCCCTCACCCCACACAGCCAGGGCCTGGTTCACCCCTCACCCCACACAGCTGGGACCTGGTTCACCCCCTCACACCACACAGCTGGGCCTGGTTCACCCCCTTATAGGACCCATGACTACAGGCCTGTGAATTAGGGAAATTCCATTTTCTCTGCATAAAGAGTGAAAATTGGTAAGTTAGTTGATGGGAAAGGCAGTATACAAGGCCTTGATTGGACATGGTACTAATTGCATTCCTTCATCTCTTGTAATTAATATTATAAAACGATGTCTGAGAATGATTAAAAATGCAATGTGATCTGCAAACTTTCACTCAGAGAACTGGCTGCTTACAAACGGCTAGGTCATCTGGGATTCGGTGGCAGTGCTGCGCGGCCTTTGGGCTCCAGAGGTCCTGGGATGTCACTGAGGGCCTGGGAACCCCACGCTGTGCTGGGTTGATGTGAGCCTGCACCAGTGTCCTCGGTGTCTAGCTCAGTGGTACCCCCTGTTTTCCTGCCCTTCAACAATCTGCTTGAGAAACAATGTGCTTTTAAGATGTTCCTGCCTTAGAAACGTCCCAGCTCTCGCACGTTGTACTGAACAGGGAACCCTGGTGGCTCAGTGGTTAAGCACCTGATTCCTAACGGGATGGGGGGGTGGAGACATGCTGATGTGCTCCTGTGGGGGTGACAGAGCCCGAGGCCATGGCGCCAACTCCAGCGGAGACCCTCCATCAAGACTCCATCAGCTTCAGAGTCTAAAGGAAGGAGACGGTCCATCCTTTTCCCCTGATGCAGCTCATGGACTTGAACCACAGACCTTTAGGTTAACAGCCCAACATGTTACACACTGCACACCAGGGCTCTTAGGAACACCTGTGGGCGGTTCTCTGTCAGAGGGTCACTGTAACTCAGAACCTCACGGCAGCAAATGCTTGCCTTAATGAAGTCTTCTGTTGATAGAAAAATCACAAGTTCGATCCCACCAGAGGTGCATTGGAGGATGGGCTACTTGTGAAAGGTCAGCTTTGAACCCCTGTGGGGCCCAGCTCTGCTCTCATGGTGGGGGGTCCCACTAGGGGAGGGAAGGGGCTTCGGGGCTCTGGATGGAAAGATGCCAGGACAGGAAGAGGTGACTGTGAAGGCCTCCCGCCCCCACACCTCCTTTCTTCCTGCAAATGTAGCCTCTCCCTGAGTGGGGACTGTCTCCACTCCGCGTTCCCACACCCACTGAGGCACCGACCCTTTCCTATGTTCAATTTGCATACTATCACCCTCTGACTCCTGAAAGCCTCGGATGGGGTGCACGTGTACCCTGCTCAGCTCCCCACCTCCTGGCACACAGCAGGGCTCGAGTTACGCATTGTTGAGTGAGCACAGAGGAGACTTTCTTACAGAGGCTCAGAAAGTCCCAGTGAATTAGGCAGGATTCTACTGACTAGTGAGACTGCAGCCTCCTGTCGTGAGACCAGATTTTGACTCGAAAAGAATGAAAGAAGTCACAGTGTGAAAACCCTGGGAATTCTTACCCTCTTTCTTCATTACCGAGAGGGTTTTTGGTTGTTATGATGCTGGGTTGGAGTCAAAGCCTGTGGAGGCCGAGCCGCCCGCTGGGAACCTCAGGCACCATCAGCTCCATCGCTGATGGTCTCCCTGGATCTCTAGGGGCTGCAGAGTCAGCATTTAGAACTCAGCAGTGAGCACTGCAGGCTGCACACACCTCCCCACCGTGTCGAGGAAGAAGGGGCACCCACAGGTACAGGCTCTGTGAGGACAGAGCACCCAGGACGGATGGGCTGGGCTCCCACCTCCTGGCCCTGTTCTCACATGGCAGCGGCCAGTGCGGTGCCAATCTGCTTGCATGACAGTCAGCCTAGCACAGGAAGAGGGGAGGGTGACGCAGAGGCTCAAAGGAAGCCTTCAAGTGTGACTTCACCAGAAAGAGTGGAAATGCTTAGTCTGTGGGTGCTGTTCGGGGGGTGGCGGGAAGTCTACATCACTCTAAATCCTCCATGCATGTTTCTCCATCCACAACAAGTGGGTGCTGAACTCTAGTGAGCAGATTCTAATTCAAGACCGATCCAGGGTGCACAGCAACCAGCCCAGATGACTGAAATATGTGAAATGTTAAGGATGTGGGGCGGGGGCTGATCAGGATGCTATGTTCCTGGACTGCTGCTTCCTTCCCCCAAGGTCCACCCAAGGTCAAGAGCAGGAACTGAGAGCCAAGAGGAACAACTGAGTCAGAGCTCTCTGGGTGACTGTGTGTGAAGGTTGGGGTGGAGTTTTGGCCAAGACAGGAGGCAGCGTGGTCACGCAGAGGGGAAAGAGAGGGTCCTGGGGACTTCTCTCTTTCTCCTCACAGCTATGGCTTTGGGAAAACAAAGGCCTGTCATTGGCCTTTCATTCTGTGGTCCAGGTGTGCCCAGGAACACCACCCATGCTGAGCTGCGCAGGTGAGCCGACTGCCCCCCACCAGGTGCTCTTGCACCACCCACCTCACAGCCAGGCCCAAAGGTGGGTGGCCCTCAGGTACCTCCCCTACTGTTTCTTCCCCCAGGGGACAGAGTGTGAAGACCACTGTCAGTAGTTCAGCTGGTGCCTGGCCCCTCCACAGTGGGCTTCTTGTCATACACCCATGTCCAGTGCCCGCCTCACTCCTAGCTCTCGAGGGCCTGGCTGGACAGGAGCTGGCCTTCCACAACAACCATTTGCCTGTCACTCCTAATGCTCCCCCAGGGGTAAAGAGCCCCAGGGCTAACAGAGCCAAAGAATAGCCTCTTCCCGGAAGATCACACAGGAATAGGCTTCCCCAAAGATGCAGAAGTATTCAAATAGATGAGCCGAGATTGCTGAACGACCCTAATAAACTCATCAAAAGGGACGAAGGAGAAATTTTGAAATATTAATCACCAGGAAAAATCATATAATCAGAATATATTTTGTGGGACGAACAGAAAAGGCGAAAGAAAGACTACAAGGTGAAGCATAAAAAGCAGAATAGACACATCTCAGTTACAAATGAACAGACTGAGAAATCTCTAAGAATAAAGGATAAATAGTGTAAAACTACAGTGGAGCTCTGGTGGCCTAGTGGCAAGAAGCTGTTCTGCAATTCCGAAGGCATGTGGTTCGAATC